AAAATATTATGAGGTAATAGAGGAGCAATTTTTTAAAAAATTAGTATTCATCTCTAAATAAATAAATTATAATTAAAAATGCAAAAAAATCAAAGGAAGCCAAACCCAACTATAAAAATAATTAAATAAGAACCCACGATATCTACAAGTTAGTCATAAATTATGATTGTTAAATATAAGGCATTTAAACTCACAAAACCCTGTAAACTATCGATGTGTTTGTTTGTTTGTTTCTAGATATTATTTATTTTAAGACCATTCGACATTCTCATTCGCACAAGACGTTTCACTGCAAACCTGGCGGCATCTAATGCAGCACAGAGAAGTTTTGCATGCATTCGCTTGTACAAGTTGCTGTCCCTCGCTCATTCGCTCCAGAAAAAAAAAATCAGTGAGAATTTGGTGCATTGCTTCACCAGGATTTTTTAAAAAGTGTGCTTATAATTTATTACACAAATCTCATTCATATATATATATATATATATATATATATATATATGTATATATATATATATGAGTCTAATACTTTCACCTAAGCTTTTAAGCACTTAGATTGGAAGATCTGTCTGGCTTCCTTCCCAAAGACTGGTTTCTTTTAATAAACCACAAAAGAAAAGAAACAATAAAGGCTCATTTCTCCACACGAATAGATCTTTTTTTTTCCAGGCAAACATTTGGCATGTTGAAGCTGAAAGCGTTTTCTGCAGGATTCAGAAGCAGAGATTCTCAAACAGGGAGGTGCCAAAAGTTGTTGGACTCCAAATCCTACAATCCCTCACCACTGGTTGCAAAAAATCCAGATTAAAAATTGTGTCCTGCTTCCCATCTGCTGCTATTTGCCTGACAGGTCAAAATGTACAGGCACATATATGATATCGGTGGGGGTTTTCTCGCTCAAGAGAGATAATAATTTTGGAGAGCAGAATTCAAATACCTGTTTGGCCATGACACTGGGAGATTTTGGGCAATTCGTTTCTGAGTTATGGCAACCCTAACATGGTGATTTCTGGGCAAGAATTGTTCTGAGAGGCATTTTTTTTATTCCTACTATGGTTGTGCATTCTGGGTAAACCCTGACCTGTTTCGTGTCCTTGCTTTTGGTGGAGGCCCCGATCTGTTTTTTGGGAACCTCCTGAAAATGGGAGGGCAGATATCCATTTTGCTCTAGGGCCCTTTTTTTTTTCGTGTCAGGAGAATCCTGTTGTGAGAGAATTGGCCGTCTGCAAGGACGTTGCCCAGGGGACACCCAGATAATTTTGATGTTTTATCATCCTTGTGGGAGGCTTCTCTCATGTCCTCGCATGAGGAGCTGGAGCTGATAGAGGGAGCTCATCCACCTCTCCCCGGATTTGAACCTGTGACCTGTCAGTCTTCAGTCCTGCCAGCACAGGGGTTTGACCCACTGCACCACTGGGGGCTCCGCTCTAGGGCCCTGAAAGATCCATTTTCTATCGGATCATTATTGGGGGAGCTTCCCACCCAGGCTCCCATTTCCAGCACGTACATGCCACACACTCACTCTCTTTCCAAGGAGAGTTTGTGTGTTGCATGGCATGCAGGTCCAGAAAGCAAGTGCGCCTGCATGTCACACACGCATTCTCTTTCCAAGGCAAGGAGACAAGTTCTCGGCTGCAAGCAAAAGCAGCCAAGTGTTCCAGGTTGCTTTCATGTAGAGCTGATTTTTGTGCTGGGGTGGGACTTCCCATTTCATGCTCCCAAAGAGATGAAAGGAATGAAATAAACAGAAGAAACTAATTCCATGCACAACTCTAATTCCTACGAGGAGGAAAGAGTGTGTCCAACTCTTGATTTCTATGACCATGCAGGAATTTGAACCCTGGTCTCCAGAGTTGCAGCCCAATGCTTAAACACTATACTTGCTAGGATTTTAGCAAGTGTTGGCTGGCATACACAAGCATTAAAGGACAAGAGCTCTGCCCCCAATTTTTCATGAAAACCTCTCTTCTACTCCATAATAGTCAAAATCCTGTAGATTAATTCTAACCACAGCAGATCCATTGAATCTATTGTTGTCTGATGAGTCAACACAGAGGTGAACCATATTGATTCAATGGCATTTGCTCTACTCAGGACTTAACTAAAAAAATTAGGTCAGTAAGTATATTACATAGCGGATGGTTTCAAAACCAGGTTCAGGCTGTAGTAGCAGTGATATATCATATGTATTACTATAATCACATTGACGTTGTTGGCACCGACCATTGCTTATGATCTGACTTTACAAGTATATTGGCATTTTCCTTTCAGGATCAAAGCTTAATCCTATAATTTTACAAAAACCTAAAATTTCTCCCAGGTCCCAAACAGTATGATTGTGAAAATATTTTGCCATTGTACATTTGGACTCCAAGGTCTTTGGCTTCCCGTTGTGATACTATTCATAGCTACCGGGCACTGGAAGAAGAACCACCAAAACAAAGTAGCTTAAAGCAAATATTTCCCAGTTTTTTCTTGAGCGATCATTGTTTTTGTATAACATTGTTTTCATTTTGTTTTTTGTTTGTTTCTTTCTGAACTCTCCCTAAAAACGCAATATTTGGAAGTAAAGAAGGTGGCAGCTTTGCACAGTAGGTCCCTGAACTTTCTTTACCCTCAGGGATGCTGAGACAGTGAAGATAGAGGAACACTTCTGGAAGAGTTTATGGGATTTGATGGAGAATTTCCTAATTTGCCTTTGTGCAAGTTTAGGAATTAAGGTAGAAAGACGAACAGGCAAGATATGGCCTAAAGGTCCCATTCTGGGTGCTCTGGAGAATGGGACTTGTGCTTTTCCGTTGTGTCAAGAGAAGGCATAATTCATTTCTTGTGGCCTTTTATGCTCATCTTCCAGCCAGTTCCTTTGGGTGCAATCCGCTACTAACACAACCCCATGGGTCTTAAACACACACACATTTCATGCGCAAATCTAGATTAAGGTTGTTTCTCCTTCCTAGCCTCATGGAGCAGTGGCAAAATGGCCCTCCAGCCAAATATTCTTAAAATCAGACCTTCCAGATCAAAATTCAGGCCAAATCATTGCAAATGGAAATGCAGCTTCCATTACTGTAAAATAAGGTTGACTTTGGATCCCATTGGCAGAAGGTAACATTAAAGGCTATTCTGAGACAGTTTGAAAAGAAAGACTCTAATCCAGGGGTGGGAATTGTGGAATGGTAGAGGACCACATTAGCCCCTCAAAAGGCCATGAAGGACTGCACCCATTCCTTCAAAAAATGCCCCCAAATTCCCTGTAAGGCTAATAATTTCAACAGGTCTTGGGATCTTCTTGGGACATTTTAGGATCAGAGAGACATATTGTTTAACAAAACAGAAGTCGCTTCATGCTTGAAAAAAATCTTCTCTTGGGCCTAAATTGGACCAAAATGGATCAAAATGTGTTGGCATGTACCAAACATGTGTCCACCAATAAGGTAATATTTTGAGTCCACATTTGTTTGGAGTTTTTTTGTAAAAGTTTTGTAGAAGTTTTGACACACCAGAAGCCAAGGAGACCTCCTAGAGCAGTGGTTCTCAACCTCCCTAATGCCATGACCCCTTAATAATTCCTCATGTTGAGGTGACCCTCAAGCATTAAATTACTTCTGTTGCTACTTCAGAACTGTAATTTTGCTACTGTTATGAGTCATAATGTAAATATCTGATATGCAGGGTATGATGGGGAAAGTGGAAGGCAAAAGGAAGAGGGGCTGACCAAGGGCAAGATGGATGGATGGCATCCTTGAAGTGACTGGACTGACCTTGAGGGAGCTGGGGGTGGTAACGGCCGACAGGGAGCTCTGGCGTGGGCTGGTCCATGAGGTCACGAAGAGTCGGAGACGACTGAACGAATGAACAACAACAACAGGGTATATTTTAATTTACTGGAACAAATTTGCCCAAATTTTAATATGGGTGGGGATGGGGGGAGGATTGACTTTGTCATTTTGGAGTTGTAGTTGTTGGGATTTATAATTCACCTATAATTCAATGATGGAATTGAACCAAACTTCGCACACAGAACTCCCATGGCCAACAGAAAATACTGGAAGGGTTTGGTAGGCATTGACCTTGAGTTTTGGAGTTGTAGTTCACCTACATCCAAAGAGCACTGTGGACTCAAACATTATTGGAATACGTAATATGCCCAAATGTGAACACTGGTGGAATTTGGGAAAAATAGACTTTGACGTTTGGGTTGCTGGGATTTATAGTTCACATACAATCAGAGTATTCTGAACCCCACCAACGATAGAATTGGGCCAAACCTCACACATGGAGCCCCCATGACCAACAGAAAGTACTGTGTTTTCTGATGGTTTTTAGTGACTCCTGAAACCCCCTCGCAATCCCCCCCCCCCCGGGGTACCAACCCCCAGGTTGAGAAACGCTGCTCTAGAGGGTATTTGAGGTAATTTAGAAATTATTTTTTTTGATTCCCTAGGTGCCACAAAAATTGGCCGAGAGATCCCATGTGGACTGTGGTCACTTCTGGAATTACAGAATAGTATAACGTTGGAGGAGACCACAAGTGCTATCCAATTCAACCGCCTGCCATGCAGGAAGTAGAGTTATTTCGAGGGGGGGGTGTACCATTTGAGCTCCGGGCTCTCCAAAAGTGATGGAAGTGCCCTTTGCATCCCCCATTTGGGGACACTTTAGTGCAAAAAATGGAAAGGTTTTTGCCCCTGGGAGACCTTTGGAGACATAAAAATGACCAAAGGGTCCACAATATGTCCACCCCTGCTCTAGTCCTTTCTTGGGAGGTGCACCATTCGCATGAAGGAGATTAAACAACCTCAGTCTAAGTTTGTGCCCTAATTCATGCATCCAACACCAGCAGATATGCAGGAAAGAGACTTCCTGTTCTCATTCCACCTCCTAACCAAATTTCCTTCCGATTATTTCAACCTCCTCCCCCGTGTTTTTACATTCTATCTCACTGAAAACTCAATCCTGTGTCAATCAATTCTGCTAGGGGAAAAGGGGTGGAAAAGATGTAATTTTTGTTTTCTCAGTGTAAACAGGACTTTTCCCTCCTCTTTTCACCAAAACAAGGAATGAATTTACCCTCTCCAGCGCGCATATATATATATATATATATATATATATATGGCTTTAGCCAGGCACCGAAGTAAGGAATCTTATGGAGAAAAACAAAAGCATTTCAACAACCCCAATGCAATGTTTGGTGCAGGTTAGATAACAGCGACATATCCACCACAAGATGACGGGGCATCAAAAGACGACATTTCTTAAGCGTACATGCTTCAGCAGCCATCCATAGAAATAGCTAAAGAACCCCTAATGTGTTTCTACTTATTTGAGAGGTATATATATACAATCCCTTTGAGAAGCAGGATTGAGAGGCCAGGACTAGAGCACTAGGTACCTTCGCTTCCACAACTAACTCTTTTCCGCTCGGCGTTCCAGCCGCGCTCTCATGCATTTCGGCTACAGCGGCTGCTTGGATCTCCTCCTATCTCCTCTAGACATTGAGAACCACCAAATCATCTTCTTCTCCTCTTCCTTCCTCCTCTTCTTCATCTTCTTCATCTTCTTCATTTATTTAATAATTTTTATAATAATCTGTGAATGTGCTTGCAGGCGTTCTTCGAAAAATAATCAAATGGCTCAGAAGGCAAACATTTTGCTGCAGAGGGGCTGTACAGCCCCAGGAAGGACCCAAAAAGAGAGAGGACACCTCCTCGCATCGACTCTTTTCAGCTATCGGATCCAAGCTGTGTTTCAATGTCCACTCGGCAGATGGGGCATTTCTTGCTGGTCGCTAGCCACTGGTCCACACATACTTGGTGAAATAGATGCATACAAGGTAAACGCCTGGAAGACATCAGAAGCACAGTCTCAGTTATCAATTCAGGGGTCAGGATTGGGCCACATGCAGGACCCTATGGGAGGATTGGGGGAAACATGCAAGACCCTATGGGAGGCTCTCCTAGGGAGCAACCAATGAAAGGGAGACAGATTCAAAAATAGCAAGGACACAGATTCACATGAGTACTCGCATGTGCTATTTGTATGCCAAGAGGAAAATTTAGAAAGAATTGCCATAATTTACACAGAAGATGAAACATCCCAATAGAGTTTTGCAACATTGGGTTGTTGTAGATTTTTTAGGCTATATGTCCATGTTCTAGAACAGTGGTTCTCAACCTGGGGTCCCCAGATGTTTTTCGCCTACAACTCCTAGAAATCCCAGCCAGTTTACCAGCTGTTACCAGTTTAGCCTGCATCAATAGGAGCATAGTGTCTAGATCTAGGGAAGTAATGCTACCCCTCTATTCTGTTTTGGTTAGACCACATCTGGAATATTGTGTCCAGTTCTGGGCACCACAATTCAAGAGAGATATTGACAAGCTGGAATGTGTCCAGAGGAGAGCGACTAAAATGATAAAAGGTCTGGAGAACAAGCCCGATGAGGAGCGGCTTAAGGAGCTGGGCATGTTTAGCCTGAAGAAGAGAAGGCTGAGAGGGGATATGATAGCCATGTATAAATATGTGAGAGGAAGCCAAGGGAGGAGGGAGCAAGCTTGTTTTCTGCTTCCCTGGAGACTAGGACGTGGAGCAATGGCTTCAAACTACAAGAGAGGAGATTCCATCTGAACATGAGGAAGAACTTCCTGACTGTGAGAGCCGTTCAGCAGTGGAACTCTCTGCCCCGGAGTGTGGTGGAGGCTCCTTCTTGGAAGCTTTTCAACAGAGGCTGGATGGCCATCTGTCAGGGGTGCTTTGAATGCAATATCCTGCTTCTTGGCAGGGGGTTGGACTGGATGGCCCATGAGGTCTCTTCCAACTTTTTGATTCTATGATTCTATGAGTCTAAGGCCAAAAACATCTGGGGACCCCAGGTTGAGAACCACTGTTCTAGAAGCATTTTCTCCTGACGCTTCGCCTGCATCTATGGAAAGCATCCTCAGAGGTTGTGAGACCACAACATTGGGAGGGGGGGTGGTATCACAATTCCCAAAATCATCTCACCAGCCTGTTTTTGCACCACAACTCATATAATGCTCTACTCACCATGGACATGATTATTCATGGGATGAGCAGCCCAAGGTCCCTAATTCTTATCATTCTTCTATTTCTAATCCTACTTTCCTTATTTCACTCCTGGCTTGCCATTACTCACCTCATGTTTGCCTAGAGGTGGGACTAACTACAATGGGGAGGAGTGTAAGAGAGAAGAAAAGATGTGTGCCTGTAATAAAGTGTGTACAAGGCCACAGAAATACTTCCCCTGCGTGTATGGACACATAAAGGGAAAAAGAAGGATTGTTCCAAATATATTCTTGAATGTCTGCTTTTTTTAGCTGTATGGTAATAGAGATTTACCCTCCTTAGTATGGCCACCTTTCAAATAGTTAACCACAGTTATCATGTCCCTTCTTAAACTTCTCTTCTTCTGGCTAAATATATCCACCCACTTAAGTCATGATACCCTTCTATTCTGCCTTGGTCACACCTGGAATACTGTGTCCAATTCTGGGCACCACAGTTTAAGGGACATGTTGACTATAAGCTGAAATGTGTCCAAAAGAGGGTGACTCAAAGGATCAAGGGTCTGGAGAACAAGCCCTATGAGGAGCAACTTAAAAAGGGGTTGGACTGGATGGCCCACAAGGTCTCTTCCAACTCTGTGATTCTATGATTCTAAGTTGATCCTCATAGAGATTCATGGTTTCCAGACCTTTAGCCATTTTGGCTGCCCTCCTCTGGACATGCCCGCGGGAAGGTGCATTCTGGGATTCAATCTGAATTTTAAAATGGCTATCCAAGGCACTGATCTTATTTGGAGACAGAAGGTTCAGTGCATGAGATAGCTCTTTGGGGTTCAGATTAAAACCCAGAGTGGAGTCACCACACTGTTGACATAAAAGCCACCAAGCTCTAGTGGTGAGAAGCTTTTATCACAGAAGTTGACGATTCGGTGCTGCTTGGTTTGGATTCAATTTCTCATCATTCCTAACCATTGGTTGTCTGGGCATGGTAAGAACTGTGGTCCAAAACATTAGTTGCCCTTGGAGGCATTGGCCAAAACCCTACATTGGAGTTAAATGTAGGGTTTACAATAGAAGGGATTGCACCCCTTCTATTGAATCACAACAATGTCTAACTTAATGCACAACTAAACATATAAATGATGCACAGTCAAGTGCAGATATAACTCTACTTCAGCAAATATGAAGTGGAACACCCAGTGGCACAACGGGTTAAATCCTCGTGCCAACAGGACTGCTGACTGACAGGTTGGGGATTTAAATCTGAAGAGTGGTTGAGCTCCCTTTTCAGCTCTAACTTCCCATGTGGGGACATGAGAGAAGCCTCCCACAAGAATGGTAAAACATCAAACATCAGGGAGTTTCCTGGGCAACATCCTTGTAGACAGCCAATTATCTCACACCAGTAGCGACTTGCATTTTCTCAAGTTACTCCTGACACACACAAAAAGCAAACATGAAGTGCAAAGGGAAAATTAGTCCTTCTTTGGCAGGTTGTTCCAATCTGGACAACTGAAGCTAACTTTGTGCATTGGATAGAAAATGTCCAATTTCTTTTATAGAGTAACTCATACATTTATATGACCCCGAAAGGATTGTGTATCTGTGTAGCAGAATATGCTTCTGTGGCTAAATATGAGCTCTTTGAGGGAAGGCTACAACTGAAGGAGCTGGAAAGGGAGAAGAAATATAAGGAGCGTTTTGGCCAGAATCCCTCAGGGAATTGTTATACCTCACATCCTCGCCATCTTCAAGCATCGAGAGACAGATTGTGCATTTCTCATCGGTATCCGACTCCTCCCCATCTTCCTTCTCAGCTTTGCTTCCCTGCGGTCTCCTCTGTCAGCAAGGACAAAAAGATCGCTTTGTTAGAAAAGATACCACTCAAAAGACCTGCAGCACAGTAGGAATCAGGATGGAAGGAAAGCAGTATTCTCACCAAACTGAGTACACTAGGGCAACCTGCCCTGTCCTTAATTCTGCAGAAGAAACCACCTCGAGTTTAATTAGTGTTCCACCTGCCGCTTGGAAAGCAGAGGTTGATGGATGAATGTCAGGCGCTCATCCAGAGCAAAACATTTTGAGGTCACCCCAGTTCCATGTTGGAGGCCTCCTTGATGTTCTCAAATGCCACAGCATTAAGAGACAATGCTCATCACAAGACATCTGTTGGAACAGGTGCCAAAATGTAGGCTCAAACCAACGTTTCAGCTGCTGTTGCTGTTTTTAATTACGACTAGTCCAGCTTTGCACATTTAGAACATGCACATGTGTGTACACACATACACATGGACTTACAGATACACAAAAAGCCAAAAAAATTAGAGGAATAGTAGACTGAGGGAGCAGCTACACCAGGCATGGACCAACTTGAGCCCTCCATAAGTTTTGTACTTCAACTCCCACCATTCCTAACAGCCTCAGGCCCCTTCCTTTCCCCCCTCAGTTGCTTAAGCGGCTGAGGGGGAAAAGGAAAGGGCCTGAGGCTGTTAGGAATGGTGGGAGTTGAAGTACAAAACTTATGGAGAGCCCAAGTTGGCCCATACCTGGGCTGCACTATAGAATTAATGCATTTTGACACCACTTTCACTGCCATGGCCAATGCTATGAAATCCTTAAAATTGTAATTTGACAAAGTCTTTCACCTTCACTACCAAACAGAGATGGAGCCTCAACAAACTACAACTCCCAGGATTCCATAGCATTGAGCCATGGCAGTTAAAGTGGTGTCAAGCTGCATTAATTCTACAGTGTACTTACTTAGGCGATCCCTCGTTGTCCAAGTAGGATTGTATTCCTAGATTGGTGTACTGGCGGTGGCTGTGGAGCCCTATTCTTGACCTCCATGGTCTCCCACACTGTGGGCATTGGTTTCCAGGTGGAAGGTGGTCCTGGTCGGATTTGGCTTGATGCGCTTTACTCTTGGCCCATTTCTCTTTTTCGCCCTCCATTCGTGCCTCTTCAAATTCTACAGCACTGCTGGTCACAGCTGACCTCCAGCTGGAGCGTTCAAGAGTTAGGGCTTTCCAGTTCTCTGTGTCTATGCCAGAGTTTTTAAGGTTGGCTTTGAGCTCATCCTTACATCTCTTTTCCTGTCCTCCAACATTCCATTTTCCATTCCTGAGTTCGGAACAGAGCAACTGCTTTTGACATACCACACCTCCTGAGCTCTGCGAGTGCAGCATTTTTCCAAATGAAGCAAAGAGTGTTTGAGGACCGGGACATCCATAGGGATACCAAGGTGCTTTTTTATAAAGCTATTGTCCTCCCGACCCTGCTATACACCTGCGAAATGTGGACTTTCTACAAATGTCACATGCAACTCCTGGAACTATTTCATCAGTGTTCCCTCTGAAAAATTGTGCAAATCTCTTGGGAAAACAGACGGACAAACGTCAGTGTGCTGGAAGAAGCAAAGACCACCAGCGTTGAAGCAATGGTCCTCCATCATCAACTCCGCTGGACCAGCCACGTGGTCTGAATGCCCAACCACTGTCTCTACAGTGTAGATTGGCTTGAAAAGCATTTTTCTCAGAAAACTAGAATCCTGGTCTGTTTGGTACATAGATGTCAATTTGTGACAAATTTCATTCCTACAATTAAGAAGTGTGCTTTTGTTGAAGGCTTTCATGGCCGGAATCACTGGGTTGCTGTGAGTTTTCTGGGCTGTATGCCCATATTCCAGAAGTATTCTCTCCTGATGTTTCACTCACATATAAGGTAGGCCTCCTCAGAGTTTGTGAGAATACCTGCCATATATGTGGGTGAAATGTCAGGAGAAAATACTTCTAGAACATGGCCATACAGCCTGGAAATCTCACAGCAACCCAGTAAGTGTGATGTTTTTCTTCCATGCTTTGAGGAAGTCCTAGAAAGATGCACAGTGCTCAAGGACTACTCACAGTTTGGGGCTTGGTGTGTACAAAAAATAAAAATAAAACTGGAGTGTTGTGTGATTTCCGAACTATATGGCCATATTCTAGCAGCATTTTCTCCTGATGTTTGGCCTGCATCTGTGGCTGGTATCTTCAAAGGATCCTCCGAAGATCCTTCTGAAGGTCCTGTGAGGATGACAGCCACAGATGCAGGAAAAGTGTCAGGAGAAACAGCTGTTAAAACACTGCCGTATGGCCTGGAAACCACAAAACACTGCAGTAATTCCAACCAGGAAACCTTCAACAATACAATACATGATTGTAAGTGTGAATAGTAAACAGTCACAAGCCTTGTAACTGTTTGCTTTATGAGATGTAAAGAATGCTCTCATTCCCCTTGAAAATGTGTCTCAAGACATAGACAGACAGACACTATCCTTGAAACAAAGTAACTTGCCATGAGATTTTGTTTTGTTTTTTGTTTGATAAAAACAGCACCTTTAAAATATCAGTCACAGCAGATTTTTTAAAAAGGGCTTGAGTGTGTGTGCAAAAATTATTTTTGTAGCTGCAAAAATATCTCCAGGAGGTATTTTGGGACACAACACTCCTGAAAATGCAAAACATCATCATAAAAGGTGTGAAATCTGTCCTCATCTCATCCAGTGGGAGGCAATCTACTGATTTTTTGTGGTTGCCATGTTGTTCTGTACAAAAATGAACTACAATGTATACATCTACTGTCTGACCACCTTCTGGTCTTCTAAAGGCATTTGATTGATGACAGACAGAGGCAGGAAGCTAGGGCAAATGCACTAGAGAAGGCCTGGGCAAACTTCGGCCCTCCAGGTGTTTTGGATTTCAACTCCCACAATTCCTAACAGCCTACCGGCTGTTAGGAATTGTGGGAGTTGAAGTCCAAAACACCTGGAGGGCTGAAGTTTGCTCATGCCTACACTAGAGCTTGCATTGGTTTTATTGCAACATTCCCCTCTACAATTAGTTTTTTCTTCCTTCCATGCTTCTGCCAATACAGTACAATCCCCTTTGCACAGATTCAACAACCGCACTTCAAAAACTATCCCCTCCAGGAAGTACGTATTTGTGGGTCTCTCTAGGTTCTCCATTATGATTATATAGTATGCTTTTTGGCCCAAGAATAATAAAAATTTAGGTTTTGTTATTATCCAGTTTCAGGTATCCAAAGAGCGTCATACTGTGTGTCTGCCAAAGGAAGCAGGTGGTATTTTCTTTGGTCATGGGACATATTGACTGGAGGATTTGGGAAGTCATGTAATAAAAAGTAACATTTCCTCATTCTGAAATGCTCCTGTTATCTCAGTGGTTCCCAACCTTTTTTTGACCAGAGACCACTTGACCAGCGACCACTCTTCAGCATTAGTACCAAAAGAGATATTAATCAGTTTTTGGTCAACTTTAGATTCAGTTTGGTTATTTGGGGTGCTGATTCAGAAAATTGCATTGGATAGAACACATCAGCTGTAGGTTCTGATACAGAACATAAGCCATCCAGTAGTTGCCATCTGTTCACCCACAAAAAAACCCCATATTTAATAAACCTTGGCACTATAAGAGGGTTTCATGAGACCAGTTGCTCTCATTGCAACGGTGTATTAATGGTGAGGCTTCAGACCATAATGTAGTTCTTGTGGACCACTGGTGGTCTACAAACCAGAGGTTGGGAACAACTGTGTTATCAGATTCATCAGTGTATGCCTTGCTTATAATATCTACAGAACTGGTGAATAAGAAATCAAGAAGAGTGGAAATGGAACTGGGCTGAACTTGATAATATAAGTACATTCTTGGATCCAGGGAATGACCCCTGAGGCATAGGCTCACAGTAATGTTCTCTTCTTTATCCATTATTTTTATCAGTATTGTAGGCCTTATTTGGAGGTCCCATTGCAGACTGGTAATTCAAGGTCCTTGCATCTTCTTCCATTTTTAGTCCAAACTTTAACTGAGCTTCCCAAAGTGTTTGTTGGCATTGTGTGCCTTCATACCATTTCTAACCCCAAGACAAACTTGCCCAAGGTCACCCAGTAGTGAGCAAGGATTCAAACACTGTTTTCTTGAGAAGTTGAACCTTTGATTAGAGGAACTGTCAAACCACCCTGCCATGCTGGCTTCAATTCAAGGTGCTGTACTCTCCACACAACATCAGTATGGTATGTTGTTGTTCATTCGTTCAGTCGTCTCCGACTCTTCGTGACCTCATGGACTAGCCCACACCAGAGCTCCCTGTCGGCCGTCACCACCCCCAGCTCCTTCAAGGTCAGTCCAGCTGTTTAAAGTTCAGAGTAAAACCCAGAGCAGAGTCTTTGCTCCCCTGACACTCAAACAACGACCCTTCTTCTGGAGACACCTCTTCGTGTTTTCAATGGAATTGTCAGTTTCACATCTTTTAAGACTTGCAATGGTCTAAAGCAGGCATGGTAGGCTGTTAAGAATTGTGGGAGTTGTAGTCTAAAACACCTGGAGGGCCAAAGTTTGCCCATACCTGGTCTAAAGTGAAGCAACATTTTGTTTTTTCTCCACTAGATGTTTTCTTGATATCACAGCTAGGGAAATGCTATTCTCCCATAGAAGAATATATTGCAAATGTTTCCTTCCCACTAGATAAGATTACAAATGGCTTTGCTTGTTTATGAATGATTTGTGTTGTGAGAAGTACATTTCACAGCCTGATACAGAACGAGATCACAGTGGAAATATTGATGAGTTTCTCAGAAATGCATGAAAAATTCAGATGGACAGATCTTCATATCCCTTGTGATAGGTATTTTTTTTTTGGTCTTCTTAGCTGTACCTGTTTAATAGGTATATTATGCTTTGTTATATCATAAGGGATTCCCAGTGCAAGCATACTGATGCCAGAATGTTTCTCAATTGCCAGGCAGTTTCTCACAGCCATCCCACTCCATGCAAAGTTGCCCTCTCCACAGAAATGAATGGAAAAGGTAATGAAGGTAGAAGCATCATACAAAAGCACCAACAGCCCTACCTAAAGCTTCACTGTTGACTCCTAAGTCCAGTTCTGGAAGACAGGTGTGACTTTCAAACTCTTACCTTCTTGTACTTGTGTGGGAAAGTGAATCGCTCAATGGTGTTTTGCACAGCCCCCCTGTTCACACTGCCCAACCTATCTTCCAGTTGCAACAACTCCTGAAAGTAAGAGAGGGAAAACAAACAAACAAATAAGACATGAATATGCAGTGCCTGGAAGATCCTCTGCCTAGAATCATATCACTAGAAGAGATCACAAGGGCCATTTTGTTCAGTCTCCAGGAACACCCAACTGAAGCACCTCTGATAAATGGTGACCTAGTGTCTCTTTTAAAAATTCCAGAGAAGGAGATGCCACCATCCTGTAAGGCAGTGGTTCTCAACCTGTGGGTCTCCAGGTGTTTTGCCCTACAACTCTCAGAAATCCCAGCCAGATGTTAGGATTTCTGGGAGTGGGAGGTCAAAACATCTGGGGACCACTTTGGCAGGAAAAACGAAATGCAAAGATACAGAATGGGGGACGCCTGGCTCG